GAGTTACTTCAGCCATTTAATTTTTCAGCAGTTTAGGAACATGAAACTGAGAAATCCAAAATATGTCTTGCATTTCCTCTAAGATTGCCTAATTGATCGTGAAACATTACATACTGCTATTAATTCACTTACTGAAGCACAGTGCCTGAAATTAGGGATGTCATTGCAAATTCCTTTCATTTTTGACAAGGAAATACTGAAGCCGCTGAACATTGTGTCAATAATAATAATTTTACAGAAAGGAGTTCAGCATGGAAGAAAGAAATATCCACACATCATAAATCTAAAATGCATAATGACATAAAGTTTAGAAAAGACAGACACTGTATATGTCCCACTTAAGGCAAACTAAAAGCTTTAAGTACAGCAAGTCCAGGGATAAAAAGATTATATTATATCTCTGCCACAGAACCTACTGCTGAGTTCATGCCTGGTTTCCTGAACTGTAGTTCCAAAAGGCTTTAGAGAGCACGATTCTGTTTGCAAGTAAGGTACACATTTCTCATGCACCTTATTTCCCTGAAAAATTACAGTGAAATTTGCAGTAGTCATTTCAGTAGCAAGGGATCATCTATTAGGACTCACATGAAGCCATATGTACCTATAAGTACCCACCCAGGCTTACACCAGGATAGTCACCAGGATCACCCGAAGTTATTCCTGATATAATGGCCTTCCATTAGTCTTTACATAAATAAAATATTTTTCTAATTATCACAGATGGATTCCTACTCCCAAAGATCATATTTTAAGCAAAAAGTTAGGAAACCATTCAAGTGCATTTTTTTCCTCCTAAAATATTGATGGTACAAGTGTTTTGAAGCAAGTTCTTTACTTCAAGCATAAGTCTTCCTGATTGTAATCCAGTAAACATTTTCCACAGAGAAGTAAAAAACATTAATTTCTATAAGAGTGCCAAGACTGATATTCTCTTTCTAAAGAAATGCCAAAATGACAGAGTAACAAAAGATACCTTTTGAACTGGTCTCCCTGTGTATTGTATTTTGGAAATGATCTGTTCACTAAAACGACTTTATTCCTACTGTAAAATTAGTCATTTTGTAATGGGCACTGGATATTTTAAAAAAAATACATTTAAACATCCATGAAGTTATTGACAGATAGTTCTTTTCCCTAGCAGATTACTAATCTGAAATCAGTTTTCCACTGAGCAGAAAATATGGAACTATATATGTTATAATGTGTTCATACTGAATTGTAAAATTAAATCATAAGAATGGTATAAAAAGCCAGAATTCTGTAATAAACATTGTACATGTTTCTTGTGGCATAAACTCTGTAATCCCTAGATTCGGTTTATTGAATGTGTTTAAACTGATAGCATGTAATTTGGAATAAGCATGTAATAAATATTCACATACTTATTTAAATGCTATTACTTAAACTACAACCGAATGAACTAGTGGCACAATCAGTGGCTGTGAAAGATAAACCTTAAGTGAAATAGGTTCAAAAATATTGTTTTCAATATTTTCTTAAGAAGGGTCACAATAACTCTGCATGCTGATTCCTTCTATAATTAATATAGACTGGGTGTCCAATGCAGGATTCAGGTCATACAGGAAAGACTGAGAAATCAACTGTAAAGTAATACTACTCCTACCACCTACTAGGCTTTCTCTTTAGCCAGAAATTATGTTCAGTCAAGGAACAGGTCATTGCAGCTTCGTAAGCCTCTAAGAGGACAGCTTGGATCAGATCTGGTTTTGAGGTGGGCTACATGCTAAACAGAAAGCAATATGAAATTGCAACAGGGAAAAAGGCAGGTTGCATACCTGCAACTGCTGTTCGTCAAGTGGTCATCTGAGCATTCACATATATTTGGCTGCTGCACCTGCTTGGTGCCACATTTGGGAAGATTCCTCTAGCAAAGCCTAGAATTTTTGGTGGGAGTGTTATCAGGATGGCATGAGTGTACTTGTTCCTCATTTTCATTATGGTCCTCGTGATGAGGAGGAATGGAGGAAAGGCATGGAAGATTGTTCTCATTCATGTAATGAGGAAGTCATCCCTGATGGATTCTTGCTGATCCCTGCTCTGGACAGTGAGGAAGGGGAGGGCTTTGAAAATGGGAATGAGGGAGATCAGAGAGTGGAGATCAGAAGTAATGAGAAAGACAACATTGTGAAGGGAGTGAAGAGTAAAAAATGAGGGTTTGTGAGGAAAGGCTGAGGAAATTGAAAGCTAGAGATCCCAATGCACTGCAAATGGCAGTCGAAAGCACACTGAGGAAATGGCAGGAGGTAGTCTATTTATATAATGTGGAAGAGGGACAGGGCTCCCACCAAAAATTCTAGGGCTAACTATAGGAAACTTCCTCAATATGGCACTGCACAGGCGCACAGAGACCACAACAAAGAACTAACAGAAACTGAGTCCTCTAAGGGATTATTTATTATTTATTTATTTATTTATTTATTAAAACATTTTTATGCCGCCCCATTTGCCGAAGCCTCGGGGCGGCTTACAACAATAAGTTAAAAAATAATTAGGTTAAAAATACAAAAATACCAATATAAAATAAGCCGCCCTGGCCAGATAAAATCCAATAATATTAACAGTTAAAATGCCGCTTAAATAAAAAGGTCTTCGCCTGGTGCCGAAAAACAAATAACGACGGCACCAGGCGGACCTCTCTGGGGAGCGCATTCCATAACTTAGGCGCCACCGCAGAGAAAGCGCTCCTCCGAGTACCCACCCTCCTAATTTCTTTCACGGAGGGTTCCCAGAGAAGGGCCTCTCCCGCCGATCTCAAGGGGCGGCCGGGCATATATGAATGTAAGTGCTCCTTCAGGGATTAACAAAAGAAGCACTGAACAATTTCCTGCTGACCACAAAAGAGCTTTGGTTGATGGAATTTCTGCAAAAGAAAGCCAGGCAAGCTGGATAGTGGAATGATCCAGTAAGGCACTTCTTATCCTTCCATGCAAGTGAAGGACACAGTCTTTGTCAGTGTAGACAAAGAATTGTAATATTATTTTAGAACGCAAATGTCAAGTAACACTTTAAATCCTTTGCTTCTGGATCAACGGAGAAATAGTTAAGAAGACATACTGGTCTACAAAGAAGCATTTGGCATTACTTCTGTAAACTGTTTTGAGAACTTAATGGTAATCAAACAGTATAAAAGTGCTTTAGGTACATAAATAATCTCTCCCTTTTCTGAAATAGGGAAACTTCTGAAGGGCAGCTAAAGCTCAAGCTAACTCTGGTTAGAAAAAGGCAATGGGTTAGGAAAACCATATGATTAAACAATCCAAAATGAAACAAGTGATGCTATCAGAAGATGGGATCCCCCTGGTTGAAAAGCTGGGGAAGAACAAAGGTCAATTACAAATAGTGCTGTTGGAAATGATGCATCTAGATCAAAGCCGAAAGGAAGTCTACTTGCTGACATGCAAAGAGGTGAACCCTTTCTGATGCTAAACAATACATAAACTGGAACATGGAACGTGAGAAATATGAATCAAGACAACCTGGAAACTGTGAGCAGGAAATGGAATGGCTAAACATTGCAGTACTTGCATTGAGTGCACTAAAGTAGACTGGAATGGGGCATTTTCAATTTGACAAACACAAAGTGTTTTACTCCAGAAATGACAAACTCAGAAGAAATGGAATGGCTCTAATACTAAGCAAGATGTAGCACAAGCTGTCAGAGGCTGTAATGCAAAATGCAACTGAATCATATCAATCAGAATTTGTGGAAAATCTGTCAACATAACCATCATTCCAGTCTACACTTGTAACAACAGTGGCTGAAGAAGAGATTGAAAACTTTTACGCAGAATTCCTAGGCATCTTGGTATATATATCAATATATTTTAACTATTTGTACTAAGCAGGAAAAGCACATTTCAATAATGTGTGTGTACATGAAATAAGTTCATACAAAATTCTGCATTGCAGAACTATATTCATACTGACTATGACCACTGAAAAGTGACAAGACTGCCATCTTTTATTTATTTTATGTATTTATTTAAAACATTTTTATGCTGCCCCCATCACAACGAAGCCTCGGGGTGGCTCACAACAGAAGCAGTTCAGAAGCAGTTTAGGTTCCCTTACAGTTCAGACCTATACATGGTTACTTGAAAGTAAATGCCACTGAGTTTAATCTGTTAACTTACTTGCATCTAAATGAACATATGCATTTTCTGTTAGAACAATGTTCTAACAGATGAACATTGGGCCTCCTTGGGCCAAGGATGTTCCTTGGGCCTCAGTAGGCAGCCTGCAAATGATTTCAGCCTATATTTAATAGAAGCAAATTTACCCTCCTTATAATTGCCATTTCCCAAAGTCTGTTAGCTTAGTTCACTTAATCAGTGCACTCGATTATTTCTTTCTGCAATGCATTTTAGTTGCTTCACATAAATATTGCACAAGGTAATATAATTCTTCTTAGAGCTATGAATTACACCTAACTGAATTGTTGCGGAACTTTCTTTTAATCTATATTGTTCATTGCTCAAATGATTATTTATACTTCTTTCTAAAAGTACTTAATTTTCATATAGTGCCATGCTGTACATACAACAGTCACCTTCAGTCCACAATCTTCCCTATAGTTCATGTGTCCTGCCTCACCTAGTGATATTTCTTAAATCTACTGAATACAATACTAGTAAGATTATCTCAGTGTTATATAAAAAAGAAAAATGTAAACTTATAGGCAAAAGACCATATTAATAATAATTGCCCACTTACAGTTCTTGTTTCCCATTCTTCTATATAAATACTGTACTAAATTAATGTTTAGGACCTGATGGATTTGATCCAAGTCCACTGAAGTAATGGGATAGTTAAGCCATAGCTAATTTATTGTCCATTAATTTCAATGGGACCCAAGTGTGAGTAACTTGCTCTGGATCCAACCATATATAATTTTGATATAATGCAGCCTTTTAGTAATCCTTTATATTATGTGAAAAAACATGCACAATTTTAAAGAAATGATCTAAAGTGAAAACAACCTGTGGGCATCCATGGATCTGATGAGGGCTTTACCAAAGTGTTCACTTGATCCCAGTTAAGGTCATCATCATCAGACTGACTATATCCACATGATGCAAATGGTTCATCAAATGAACAGCCACCTGTAAAGACAAAAATATATGTTAAAATGGTATAGATAAGCTATAGTCCAAAGCCCACTGAAAATCTGCCTTCAAATCTATGCTATTTGGTACATTTCCCCCAAAGAACCCAGCATAACTCACTATCTCCAAAGACCCCAGCATTATAGCTGTCCAGCTTTAATTGCAAGTACGTTATAGTTTACCAGTGTCAGGCAAAAATTAAATGAGCAACGCAATCATACAGATTCCCTTACCTAAGCCAGGAATCCTGAACACAATAAGAGGCATTCTGCCATGTGAACCGCTAGCTTTGCTCATTCCTGTGAGGGCAAAGGCCTAATGCCAGTTCAGAAAATCCCCGAAGTCAGCAGAATACCACTGGGAATTCATAGTTAATGCACACTGTGCATATGAGACTGCCTATGTGCACATGACGTGTCAGAATGGGGACATAAACACTGGATACCTGGATGGGGGAAAGTGTCTTACTAGCCTGGAGATGGGCAAACAATGTACATAACTTTATCTGCCAGGACACTGTACCTCTGCACTGGATGCCATGGGCCATTCTCTGCCTGGCTGCTGGACAGTTCTGGCACACCTCCATGCCCTTTCTATGCACCAGGATCGTATCTTCAAATCATATATTGTCCAAGATGTACAAAGGTATTCCCTAGTTAGCAGTACTACTAGACTCGTAAAACTTCAAAAGTACAGTATTATGACCCTACTAGCTTCTCTCATGCATCAAGACCCTCAAAACTTAATCTGAAAACAAATCTGGAAGCGTTAAAAGAAAAGAAAGCATAATAGAACATATCCAAAAAGAACCCACAGTCAACAGAAATAAATTTGCACAAATGTGGTTTTATTATGTCAACAAATGTCCTGTTGAGAATAATCTACCCTTATCACTTTCATTCCAATGTTCAACCAAGTTCCGCAATCACTCTGTTTAAGGTTATGACAAAATCCATTTCTGGCACAGCAGGGTCCCCCACTGCCCCACATTTCCACAGTAAATCATACTTTTTCTTTCAATTTAAAGAAAGATGGAACTTTTTAGCTTTTGATGATTTACTAGCTACAAATACATTGATTGTGAAATTTCTATCATGCACTGAGAATGTTTACTTTAAATGTCCCAACAGTTGCTTCTGACTGCAGTTTGTATCCCATTGATTCAGAAGCTAACAACTAAAATTTCCATTCAGTTTTTCTGAAGTGTGTTACACTAGCATTAATGTCAATAAACAGTATATATAAGCAGTCTATATATTAGAAAGATTTTTCAGCCATACAGTGGGTTGGATTCAAAGTTGTGCTACTGGTGGTAGAGGAACAGGGTAGGGTAGTGATCTTTGCCTATTTCTTCTCTCCAGAGCCTTCTGTGCCTCGGAAAACACTGCTCTAGAGGTTTGGGAGAGATGTTCTGAACCTGCATGAGAGGTGATAGAGGGGACAATAGAAGGAAGGGGTAATTGCCAAGTTGTCCTTCCGCTACCACCACCATCGTCCAGAATGATGCCTCCACTGGGTCCCAGAGCATTCTACAAAGGGAGAGCACTCATTGGTTCGCAGAACGGGCAACCTGGATCCAGCCCAGTGTTGATACATTATAGAAAGTTTCTTTATCCACACTGATATATCATACATTCTTTAAAACTCATATATCTGCAAAATTAATGAGAACTCCTGTTTTCTTCTTTGATTTCTAACCTCCACCTGTACTCCAATTGTTTAAAGAGCACATCATTATCTTCTTGGGAATTCAAAAGCAGATTATACATTCTATGCATCTACATGAAATAAGTTAAGTGCATCTTACCTAATTTTTGAGATAAGAAAAGCATACTTTCAACATAATACTAGTACTCTCTGGGCATACTATTTTTCTACTGCTTCTTCAAAAGGAAAGTTATTTGCTTCAACTAATCCGTTGAATCTATATAAATTCCCCAACTCCCGTAAGGCAAAGTTTCCTAAGAACTGAACTCTTTTTCTGTATTATACATTGATAGATTCATTCCACATTACAGAGCCCTGCCTCCTCCTGCTGCTTGGATTATAATGAAGTCTCCCTGGCAGCTGTCCAGGAAGGAATCTTGGCGATCTTCACACTCCTGCCTGGAGAAAGGGCCTGCCAAACAGCAATAAGCAAAACATAAGAGACACGCTCCTAAATCGCCTGGGGACCCTGCAGATCCAGGTAGAGCTGTATCTCATGCCACCTGAATGTTAGAGGGTCAGGCTGGATGCTCGATAGCTGCAGTCCTGGTAGAACACAGACATTCTTCACACAGTCCCCCAATCACATTTTGTTTTAAACTGCTTGAAAGTGATTGATGCTAAAATGAGTATCTTAAGCAATATGCTGTAATTGGTCTCTGCTCAAAGGAACCCAGTGGGAATAAAATGTTACCAGACACTCTGGCTAAAACAGGAAAAGGGATTGCCAGGAGGATTATGCTTGCATATTAATATTCCTAATGTGAGAGACATGAAAAATATATAATCTGGGAGATAGCCATTAATCATTTAATTTTTTTACATGCACCCAAACACGTTCATGTTGTCTTAAATACCACCATCTGTTTTCCTTTATTATGAACTGCGCAAACATGCTGTGAATGCCCGAGTGGCACAAAGATAGGTCATCTTCACACAGTTCTAAATGGTGTTTAAGTAAGAGTCTTATTCATTATCTCCAAACATTATCTCAGGGAAATTAGCATCCCTGGACAGTGCAGCTTTCTGCAACACTCTTGCCTGTACTACCCTCAATTAAAAATTCAACTGCAGCTGAAGACTCATTAAAAAACTCAGCATACTTACTCAGTTTTCACCTTGAAAACAGCATATAATTTATCTCATACATGAAGACTGCATGCAGAAATCAAATAGATCTGTTCAACAGAGAACAGATTCTTCATTGTACCTTGCGACTGCAGAGTTTAGAATATGCAGGGAAATTAATGACTTTTCCATCAAACTAAAAACTTTTTGCAAATCATAGAATTGTAGAGTTGGAAGGGACCATAAAGGCCATCGGGTCCAACCCCTGCTGTTCAAAAATCAAGAACGATGCATAGGAAATTAACAATTCATAATCACCACTATCAACCTTGTTGACCAGGTAATTTATGTTGTAATTAAACCAAAAGATATTGTGCAAGTCAAGACCATCCTTATAATTAGAGGCGATCAGGCCCTAAGTCAAGGGTTTCTGCTAGTCTTTGCAGGGCTGGGTGAGTGACTCATGTGAGTCCTTCTGCTGCGCTCAAGCAAGGTTTGTTGCTTGTGCACCTACCATGAATGCAATTCCCACAACCTCTGCATTCATACAGGAGCTCACCTTGCTGAAAGCAAAATGCCACCTCATGGTTGCCCACTGCTTTGCTTAGGCAGATGGGTCCTTTGATGTATGACTGGGATCAACTTATTAATAAAAGCTTTCACTGAAATAGGTAAGTTACTGACCTACTTGGAAACTCCTTTGTGTGTAGATTTTTTGGCAAACCAATCTATAATGGGTGCTTGTTGCTATTACAGTCTAACACGTCAAAGATGTTTTCCAGATATCTTTAGCTCATGGATAACTGTCTGGCACATTCAAGTTTAACAGTTTCACTTGCTGGTGCAGCTGCTACAAAATGTCAATGAAGTCTCAAAATATCTTCATAAATATTTTGTAAGGAAAGACTTAGTCACTGCTAATCCCCGTTCATTAATGTAAACATTTTTTTTAAAGATTACCTTTCAATGTTAAATCAAATTACCTTACAAATTACATTTTACCTTATCAAATTACATTTCCATGTTAATTATATTAGTTTTGCTTCATAGTGAATTTCACTTTTTAGCAGATTATACTTTATTTAGTATTCCTAGTATATAGGGAAGGTAAATTGGAGAATGTTAAAAAAAAAACCCTAAAATTTCTGGGACATACTATTGGATAAAAGTGGTTCAGGTGAGGTGAGACATGCATTCCTTTGTGGAATCTGCCCACCAACTAAGAAACTCACCTACTTCATCCCAGTCTGCTGGTAATAATGCAGATCACACATTACTCTCATCCCTAATCCTAGGAAGATGATAAAATAGCTTCATCACTGAACACTAGAGATAACCATACCATTGGCCACAAACATGTTCTGGCAATCTTCTGCTAGTCACATGACAGACAGACAGACAGACTTTATTGCAGTCAAAGACCAGCTCCATTAAATAAATACATAGATTTACATAGATTTAAATACATAGTAAACTTTTTAAAAAGCATTTTAAAAGTCATTTTTTCAATCCTCCCATTACCTCCTGTTCTCTGGATGAGATGCTGACAGTTAAAAAACTAAAATGCCATACAAACCTTAAAAATACAATATACTAAAGGTAAACTACACATCAATTACTTTCATATGACACCGACATTGACTTTTAACTCTAGTGTAAAAGTGTACATAGCCCTGATTTGTTCTGAGAATACAGCCCCCTGGGAGGGGAAGATTAAAGAGCCACCCCCACTGGTTGGATTTTTAGGAAGAACAGGTTCCCATTTGTGTCCACGGAGGCTATTTTACTTTTTTAACTGCCATGCATGTGTGTTTGTGTGTCTGTGTGTGTGTGTGATTTCCCCCCTCCTGATGTGCTGCAGTCACAATCTGAATCAGGGTCATACACTCCTATTAGAATAAAAAGCAAAGAGAGGAAAAGCTTGATGCATTCAATAAACTAAAGTATCACTGGATCCTCAGTCTATTTTGAGATCACATGGAATCTCATTACAGCAGGTATGATGATTTTTTTCATGCTCAGTTTTATTCCTTTTACCTCTTTGAATCAAGTGGTTTCAAATAACTGTAATGTAAACAGTTTCTAAGAAACATATCAATATCAAAACAAGGTACAGAACATATTTTAACATAAGGAAAAGAAGGGTGAAGGGAAACAGTGGTGGGCAGGGGGTTAGATCAGCAGCTCTGGCAGATTTCACAGGCACTGGACAAAATCCCTAG